AATTTATACAATTAACCTCCCTGTGGTTCGTCCCTAATCTTGCCGGGTTATTTATTACTTCGACACTCCTGCACTTGGAAGAAGACATCAATCTTTTAGTCGTGTCACTCAACAACTTTAATTAAAGTTTAGTCTAATAGAGCATTGATCAGAGACATTTAGGAACAATACTTTGACATAATAAAAATTTTATAATTATAATAACTTCATAATTTTCTTACAAAATATTTTTGTCCAAAAATATTTTCTTTACTCCAAATTCATTAATCAAATATTATATTTATTAATAAAATATTTAATGAATATTAAAAATAAATAAACTTTTATAAATAAATTAAATATATTTATATGAACAAAATTAATATAACGTATAACCAAAGCCAGTATTCATATACAGAGAGTGAGTAAATAGGTAGTTTGATCATTAGAAACTTATTATATCTCTAATAGATAATGTTGTCCAATAAAGTCAGCTGTACAGTTTGATGGTGTTACCGTAAACAACTTCAACCTGCTAGGATGAGCAGTCCACGTTTGAGTTTCGCAGTTAAAGAGTGGAGCCAAAAAAACCACACGAACACAAACTCGCATACTCTCTCTCTTCTCTTATTCACGTTGTTTCCAAGAGCCTGTCTTTTAGTGCTTTTGTAATTGTAATTCCATTTTATGCAGATCGTGTTGACAGACATGTGAGGGGCAGTGGCTTTTCTTTTGGGGCCAATGGGGCGGTGTGCATGTGCCTCTATATATCCCCCCTTTTAACTCAGCAGTGAGGCCCTTTCCTCTCTAGCTAAGCTAGTTTTTATACTACTTACATATATCCAATATATAGTGTGCTCCAATGATTTCTCGAAAACACCAACACCCCATCATAAAGAAGTCTCCCCATCCACAAAATGTCCATATTTTTAAAAATGAAACTTCTGATAATACAGGCATTCATGCCTTGATTCTTGAAGAACGGTGTTCCAAGTCTTTTTTTGAGTCAAGTAGTTGGCTCAGTTAAAATATTGTTGTCATTTTAATTTCCTGTGAAGGGTCTTTATTACCTGTGGTATTAGAGAGTAGGGTCCCTTACTAGTAGGGTGCATGGTTTGGCCTGAGTGGCTATTCTATCTCTCTCTTTTCACATGCTTAGTTCAAAGTCCTATATATATGTGTGTGCATATGCATTCCTCTTGGCTAGCTCAAATTGGAGCATTTCCATACCATTAACAGCTCTTTGTGAAGAGGGGTTGGAGCTGTTTTTTCTTCTTTGAAACACCAATGGCTGTTTTCTTCGTGGTTCTTGTGGTAGTTCTCTTTTTGTTCGGTATCTCCTCTGCTTTGTTGAGGTGGAATGAGGTGAGATATCGGAAGAAAGGGTTGCCTCCAGGCACCATGGGATGGCCAATCTTTGGAGAGACCACTGAATTTCTAAAGCAAGGCCCGAACTTCATGAAAAATCAGAGCGCAAGGTGATGATTGTTTGCATGACTTTCAATTCGATATGTTGATGATGTTGTTGTTGTTGTTGTTTCTTGCTGATGTCGGAAGGAGTTCTGTTCCTAGCTCTAGTTCATTTGGTGTGTCAACTGTTGATATATTACTTTCAAGTGATTTTTTCTTGGTTGAAGCTGTTCACCTCTTTTGTTTGCATCCCTGCTTGTTTATGATTAGCTGACAATTGCTTCTAAAGTTATCTTCCTTTTTTTCTTTTTCCATGTCAATCAAAACAAAAGAACAAGGACTTGTACCTTCGTTTTCCTTTTGGGTGGGGATTGGTCCCTGCTAACCCACAAAAGATACCTATATAGCTAAAGCCAATCTCTTAATGAAGCCTGGAACAGTTGCGTGAGGGTTTTCTTGTAAATTTAACTTGGTTTGTAATAATACTAACCACTAGACATCACATTCTTGAAATTTATCTATCTTCGGTGTACTTTTAAGATAAGATGGGTTTTTTTGTTTGTTTTTGATTAACCTTGTCTCGTAAAACTGCAGGTTTGGGAGTTTTTTCAAATCCCATATTCTGGGGTGTCCTACCATTGTTTCCATGGATCCAGAGCTCAACAGGTACATACTACTGAACGAGGCAAAAGGCCTTGTTCCTGGTTACCCTCAGTCCATGCTGGATATCTTAGGCAATCGCAACATTGCAGCAGTTCATGGCTCCACTCACAAGTACATGAGAGGGGCATTATTATCCCTCATTAGCCCCACCATGATCAGAGAAAAACTTTTGCCAACAATTGATGAGTTCATGAGAACCCACCTCAGCGATTGGGATTCCAAAATTATTGACATTCAACAAATGACTAAAGAGGTACCTGCCGTTACGCAACATATCAGAACTTGATCCAAGTTTCCCCGTATCGATAATGTGCATTTGTAACCATTATTTTATGCAGATGGCCCTTCTTTCTGCACTCAAACAAATTGCTGGCATTGATTCTAGCTCAATATCTCAAGCATTCATGCCTGAGTTTTTCAAGCTGGTTTTAGGCACTTTGTCATTGCCGATTGACCTACCTGGCACTAATTATACGCGTGGAGTCCAGGTAATTGATTAGATAAATAAAAAAAATATGAACACTCCTATGTCAGTTTTTTTATTCAAGTTTTTCTTGCTGCACGTATTGAATGTTTCACCACGTTACGCAGGCGAGAAAAAATATCATAAGCATGTTTAGGAAGGTAATACGAGAGAGGAGGGAGTCAAGATTATCGCACCAGGACATGCTTGGTAAACTGATGAGAACTGAAGAAAATAAATACAAATTAACAGATGAAGAAATAATTGACCAGATAATCACAATTCTGTACTCTGGCTACGAAACGGTTTCGACTACTTCAATGATGGCAGTCAAGTATTTGCATGATCACCCAACAGTCCTTCAAGAGCTAAGAGTAAGCCTAGACCCACTGTTTAGTGTTGATACATTTTGTCACATTCCTGTGTTATCGACTTCATACTTCATCTTTATGCAGAAAGAGCATTTGGCAGTAAGAGCAAAGAAAAGGCCTGAGGACCCAATTGATTTGAATGATCTTAAACCGATGCGTTTTACTCGTGCCGTAAGTAGAGATTGTAGTGGTCGATTATTTTCTACTTACTGAGCTTAACTCGATCGTTTGTTCTGTTTTATCTCATGCAGGTGATTCTTGAGACGTCAAGAATGGCGACGATAGTAAATGGGGTTTTGAGGAAGACTACTAGAGAAATGGAACTGAATGGTAAGTACGAAAAAGTCTAATGCTTTGTCTATGTGGGCTCAGGAAGCCTTTCTGCAGCAACTTTGTTGATGTAAAGCATGCCATGAGAATAGGATCATCTCCTCTTGTGGGCCATTCAGCTATTATGATCTACATGCCAAAGCCAATCCAGCCAGCCCATTCTCTTGCTGACCCAAAATCATGTTCATCAAGCAAGAAACTTGAGGTCCCAAATTTGTTAATTATTTGCTTTTCTTTCCGTTGTTTTCACTCAGGATTTGTGATCCCAAAAGGATGGAGGATCTATGTTTACACAAGAGAGATGAACTATGATCCACATATATATCCTGACCCATTATCCTTCAACCCATGGAGATGGCTGGTAAGTCGTTTGTTGTTGATACAGGGCGCACTACTTCTCTCTGAAAAAACGCGACTTCCTTCAGTAATGTTTGCCAAATGCAGGACACAAGTCTGGAGTCTCAAAACTATCTCTTCATTTTTGGAGGAGGTGCTAGGCAGTGTCCAGGGAAGGAGCTAGGAATAGCTGAAATCTCAACTTTCCTTCATTATTTCGTAACTCGATACAGGTAACTACAAGAACCCCCAATATACAAAATCACATTCTTTAGCAGCAAACAAAGATGACCTTAATTGGCTGTTTTTTGCTTGCAGATGGGAAGAGGTTGGAGGGGACAAACTAATGAAATTTCCAAGAGTTGAAGCACCAAATGGGCTACACATAAGGGTCTCATCTCACTAACTAATCAGTGACCTCTGGATGTACAGAAAAGAAGAGGGAGATAATGATGTTCTAACAGAAAGTGAGCGACTTCAAGCTAGTGTTAATTTCCATTTTTGGCTATATAATAATCCTGTTCATTTTCCATTTCTTCCCCTTTCTGCCTTTCTGTTAGGATATACAGCTTATCAAGTAATGCCACAGTATCCAAGCCCGAGAATTCCTTCATCTTCCTGCAGAGTTTGCTATCACAATTTAACGAAAATAAAAATGGGATTTAGAGAGATGGGTCCTTGAGCCCTATGCTGTTAAAGCCTAGCCCGAAAGACAGGAAACGGAAGAAAGACCAGACTCAATGAATGTTTGAACTTTGAACATGTAATTAAGTTAAGCCCTTGAAATAGAATGATAGCTTCCTTTATGCCCAAACACATAGATGCTCTTACAACTTGTTTGCACTTTCTTTTTTCATTGGAAGACATTATATAGACTTAGGCTCCGAACCTGATGGATACCCATTAAAACCAATCAGAATGGGTTGAATATTCTGAGTAGTATATTCCGGGTAAAACTTGAACCAAAAAAATCGGGTTTTCAACGGATAGTCGATACTACTTTACCCGATTCAAAACCCAACTTATACTTGATCCGGAATTTCTTTGTATAATATGTGTATTTATGCCCATAAAATGGATGGAAACTAGATTCTTAGGTAATGGATACTTGAATAAATACTGCAATCTAATTGGATTGATTTTGGTATCTAAAATCCAAATTTATCTGGATAATGGATCTAATATAGATAATAATTTTAATTATGGATGTGAGTATCAAAAATACTAAAATCCAACTTTTAAATACACATTAGCATTTCTAAATAGAATTTAAAAATACTTTTCAAGGAAAACTCTCAATTGTTTTGTTTTAGAACTTGTTACAGTACAACTCTCAATTGTTTTGTTTTAGAACTTGTTTTGGATTACAGTACATATTATTTTTTAAAGTAATTTTTATTTAGAAATTTATTAAAATATAATTTTTTAAATTTTAATTTTTTTTAATATAAAAAATATATAAAGAATTTAAACTTGATTGGGAATTTATGGAAATGAAAGGGTATCTCCATCTGTGGAGTACCAAGGGGTCGTGGTGCCCTTATGTAAACAAAACACAAAAGGTGTAGCTTTTTGGGAGAAGCCATTTTATCTTGTCCAAGTTTTGAAGGATAAATTCCAGGCCCATAAAACGACGATAGGTCTTGAGACCACAAGCAAGTTAAGAATTAATATCGAAGGACCCTGAGAAGTTCACCATCGAATATTCATTTAAAAACAAAATTAAGTCTACAATTATTGAATAATCAGGCGATGGTATCACGCCGTCATCCAAGGCTGCTGAAACTCTCGTCCTCCAAAAGGTTCCAAGTTAGGTCTAGACTTTCTGAAACTTCAAAATGTCTCCCTAGTAGGAATTAATTGTGAAGCTTACCAAATCCCATTAAGATGGTGGGCTTCTATTCAGCACTCCAATAATTACACGATTGTGAAGCTTACCAAATCCCATTAAGATAGTGGGCTTCTATTCAGCACTCAAGGTTATTTTTAAAGTATTTTTTATTTAAAAATATATAAAAATATATTTTTTTCATTTTTTAATAATTATTTTTAACAATAACATATTTAAACACTAAAAAAAAAGCTAAAACAAATAATTTCAAATAAAAAAATTCAAAAAATTATAAAATATGATTTCAACTATAAAAACAAACAACCTCTGAACCTAGTATCATGTCCTATCATGGAAGTGGACTTGATAAGTTTAGTGGGGAGCTTCCCAATTGCTGTAAGAAAAGTTTTGATAAATTTAATGGGGAGCTGCCAACGAGAGCCAAGTGCTCTAAGAAATGTTGGCCAATCCTATGTGCAATTGAGCCAACCATAGCACTTAGCCGCCTAGGCTGTAGCGATGCCAAACACAGGTTCTAAATTCCTTCTTTAGAACGTGGAAATTTCTGAATAGGAAGCTGCACCATGAAGGCATAAACTCACAGATTGAATAGTGCAGTAGCATTCAAGAAATTAATTCATCATTTCATAAACGAGAGTTGACCTTGAAAGTTGTAAAATTTAGTTCCAATCCTCATTCCAAAACTTTGATCGTCGACTTTCAGGACAGCAATTTCAGATGATAATCTTAATATACAGAGAATTGTTGCGAATATATCCCAAAAAATATGTATTCGAAAAAAGGGAGTAGTGATGAGATAACAATTAGATTATTTTGAACTTGACTGCATTTTGAATTAGAACAATGTCAAACTAGTTCTAAATTATGTCAATAATTGGCATAATCAAGAAATTAAGTTAGCAGTTTATACTCTTTTTTAAAAAGTATTGTTGAAAATCTTGATGCTAATTATAAAATTTATAACTTTATAGTGTGATGAAAATATGAGGGTACGATCTCGAGATAATTAAAGAGAATTGTTTTTTTAAAAAAAAACAAACTTTGGATATTTTCATATTTTAGTGTTTTTTAATATAATTTATATGGATATATAGCATTAATAATATTTCCTTTTTAAAACTAATTTTCTAATATCTTTCTTATTGGGAAAGTTTTAATTTTTGTATAAATAATTATATACATAATGATTTTTATTAAAACAATCTCAACTCCAGTGCTAAGTTTTTGATGTTTCACACGTCAATTTAATCTTGATGCTAATTATAAAATTTATGACTTTATAGTGTGATGAAAACATGGGAGTACGATCTCGAGATAATTAAAGAGAATTGTTTTTTTAACAAAAAAAAACTTACTTGGGATATTTTCATATTTTAGTGTTTTTAATATAATTTATATGGATATATAGCATTAATAATATTTCCTTTTTAAAACTAATTTTCTAATATCTTTCTTATTGAGAAAGTTTTAATTTTCGTATAAATAATTATATACATGATTATTTTTATTAAAAAATCTAAACTCCAATTCTAAGTTTTTGATGTTTCACACTTCAATTTAATAAATATGTTTAGAATTATAAATATCATATAATAAAGAAACTAAAAATCTTGTAAACTACAAATTAATAAAGATAATGAAGTCTGTGTTCATCTTGAAAAGTCTTAAGTATCTTGAAAAGTCTTAAGTCTTAGCAGATGATGACAACACATTTTAAGTAAGTGGGTTAGATCTTTATCCCCCAGCTAATTCTACAAAATAAGTTATTTTGTATATAAAGGACTCTCCGATACTTAAGTCAAGATGGTAAGGTTCGCAAGGGGTAGGGAAAATGGCTCAAGGTGGTTACAAGGAGGCTAATAGGAGAGGACGACGATAGGTGATTAATGGATAGTGATAGAGTGAAGGAAAAGGGCTTAACTACTGTTACATCTGTTACAGGCCACAATTAAGCACGCTATTTAATTCCATGATTTCAAGAGGTATTTCAGTTACATCTGTTACAACTAACATTAATAGCAAAGAAGGAAGGGTTATAGTTGTTCAGGAGAAGCTATTTAGGCCATGAGAGTTGGGCCTTCAACTATTGGATGGTAGAAAAAAAAAAGTGAGCTTAAGACATGGTAATAAAGTTCAATAGGCTTTGTAAATAAGACTATTTTTGTTGGGCTAACTTTCTCATCAATGGAGATTGTAGGCACATTTAAAAGATATTGAGTAATGCTAGAACCTGATGACTAAGTCTGTTATGAGCTATGAATTATTTAAGTTGGAATTGTTGAGGACTTGGCAACTCTCGTGCAGTTCAAGCTCTTAAAGGGCTAGTGTAATCTGGAAAGCCATATGTTATTTTTCTTTTAGAGACTAGAGTTGATAGTAGTAGAATTGAATCTATTAGAGGGGACGTTAAGTTTAATGGGTGTTTTACAATTGACAGATTAGGAAAGGAGGGTGGTTTGGTTGTGTTTTAGAAAGGTCCAAAGGCTGTTGATTAATTGGATACTCTTTGAACCATATGGATTTAGAAATGGTGGATATAAACTATTTTTGATGGAGATTAAATGGTTTTTATAGGTTTCCAGAATGACATAGACGTAGGAAATTATAGAACCTCCTAAGAGTTCTTAGTAGAAGATCGAATCTTCATTGGGTATGCATTGGAGATTTTATTGATTTGCTTCAGTTAGAAAATAAAAGGGGAGATAATCTTCTTCTTTTTTTCCCCTTGTTACAAGGTTTTAGATATGTTGTAGAAGACAACAACTTGATTGATTTTTCTTTAGTGAGCTATCCATTCACTTGAGAAAGTGGTAGAGGGACTCTTGCTTGGGATCAAGAACATCTTGATAGGGTATAATGTATTAATTCTTAGCAATCTCACTATCAAAATGTAGAGCTCCTTAACCTCACTATTAAGACCTCTGATCATATTCTCATTTATTTGGTAGTTTATAAATTGTTTTTCCACTATAAATACTTTAGGTTTCATTTCAAAAATGCATGGATTAAAGAGTCAAGCTCAGGAATTGTGATAGATTTCATTAATGTTCAAATCATCCTGCTCAATAGGGAAGAAACCTATTGAAGAAACTCAAGAAGGAGATATAGATTATCACAATTAATTTCAAGCTTTATGTGGCCTTGGGATGTAGCATGAATAGAGGCTTATTTTAGGTGTCGAGATAATCTTTTCTAGATATAATTCTAAAAGGAGTTGTACCAGTGATTAGTACTTAAAAATGCATTTTTATCAAGGTTTTATATCATCATTTTGCACTTGAAGTATCAATAACTCCTTAACTAAAGCATGTTTTATAATAATATATCTAATAATATAAGATACCTTTAATTTATGGTAAATGTTCATTTTAAATGTAGGCCTATCACATAAATGAAAGGATTGGTTGATGAATTTAAGAACTGAAATTGAAAGGATAAAGAGATGGCCAAACTTAGAAAAGAGATGTCGGTGCAATCCAAACCGGAACATTGTTCAGTAATTGGGTCATATCTGGAGCTATAGATCTCAGATTTAGGTCTACTTTATATGGATGGAAAGGTAAGACATAAGCCTACAACTTTCATATGGAGCCCAAGATCTAAAAAGGTCATTTTTAAATCCATATTGTTGTAACAACAAAGAAGCCCGAATCTGTCTTCCAGCCCGAGCACTGTTCGGTATTTTGGCCATATCTGGAGTTCTAGAAGTCCAAATGAGCTGAATGTTTTACACAAGAAAGATGAGACAATTGCCGACAACTTTCATGTTTGCAACTGGCTCCAGTTTTGACGTTATCAATGACATTTTGGGCAGACAAGAGAAGATAAGGATTGTCACCAAGTCAAAAGTTGGTCACCCACTTATCAATTAGTCATCAAATCAATAGTTCCCAATTTTGGCCTATAAAAGGAGGCATTTGCCATGCATTTAGGCATCTTGGTTTCCAGATCAAGATCATGCTCTTCCTTTCTCTCTTTGTATTTTTTATGCTTTGTTTTCATTAATATTAAGTTTATGCCTTTCATTTCCTTTCCTTTACTTAGTTAACTTTTATGTTCTTATTTTGTTTATCTATTTTGCTTTCTTTCATTATGTCTAGCTAAGTTAATTATGTCAAGGTGAAAAGGTTACACTAATGGTGTAAGAATAAGTATAATGTAAACTTAATATGGACTTTAATGTTTGATACTAACATGTTTTAT